TATTGTACTTTTAAAAAATATAGGTTTAGAATATAATATATATATATATATATAATAAATATTTTTAAAATATTTAAATTAGTTTTGAATCATAAATAAACAAAAAGTTATATACACATAAATATATATTGAAATTCTTGGAGATTATAATATTATTATATATAATATAATTTATAAATATTAATACAGCATAATAAATATTATTTCATGTGAGCATTGCGTATACTATTAATGGTAATTTTTATGATAATGATTCTAACCAATTGGCATATTTTATTTAATATTTTAATAATATATGAATCGGCTTAACTCAATCAACATTAATTTAATGAAAAATAATCTAAGAATAAGATAAACTTTATGTTTCATTTTTTCATCTTAGTTAAGCTAATTAAGTTAGATAAAAATATAAATATAAATAGTCATTATTTATATTAAAATAAAATCATAATTATTTATTATAATTTAATTAAAATTCAATATTTTAATCTATAAAGTAAAAAAACTATAATATTAATAAAACTTTTTTCACTAATAACTTTATTATAATTTAATTAAAATTTAATATTTTAATCTATAAAAAAACTATAATATTAATAAAATTTTTTCATTAATAACATAATGAATGCAAAAAATTTTTAAAGATTAAAATGATAATTTTTAAAAATTATTCAAGCCAAAAATTATTGAAATTTAAAGAATAATATTTTTAAACTATGTAATTATTTTTGATTTTTTTTGGCAAAAATTAAAAATATTTTTGAAATATGTTGTTAAAAAAAATGTCATTCAACATTTTTCAAGATATGATATGTTTCTTTATAAATAATTAAATTAATTTAAAAAATTTTTTAAATTTTTGATACAATACATTGAATTACTAGCTATAAAAAAATAAATGAAGTTGCAGAAAAGTATTGATTTTTCAATTTAAATTATGTTATAGAGATATATAAGATTTTAAACAATTTTTACGTATAAGTATCGAACTTAATTTTCGAGATATTTGCAAAAATTGTTATTTGTTGTAATGAGATTGAAAATAAAAATACATTATAGAAATAAAAATATATTTAATTATAATATTAATATTTAATAATGAAACTTAAAATAGCTTGCATCTCATATTTCTACGATCGATTTCCAATAACATTCCAACATTTGTTCATTGATGATTAGCAAAATCGACATATTGTCAATTTTATTATTATTCAATTATATTGCCAATATTATTATTACATAGAATATGTATATCTCCATTAGAAACTATGATTAAACCAATATATAAATAAGAAAAAATTTAACGTTTAAAATGTTGATTTCTACAACATATTCGAAAAAGAGAAGATTTTTTTTTTAAATAATTACTAAAATATTTGTTCAAAATAGCTTTCAAATTGTTTTTTCCATTATTAATATACATATATATAAAATATATATAAATAAAATATATACATATTTGGAGAATTGATTCTAAATATAAAAAAAAAATGTAAAAAATTAGTGTACAAAAATGTTGATTCTATTTATTAATTAAACAAATTTAGTAAACAATTGAAGTTTGTTTTTATTGTTTATATTTAGATGAAGCGAAACACAGATATAATAAGACAATTTTATTTTTGTCACACAGTATGTTTCTGTTTCGTTTCATCAATTTAAAATGATTATAACTTAATAAATAAACTTTGGTCGATATTTTTATATATTAATTTTCATTTTTGTTTTGATTATATTTTAGAAATATATCTAATCGACATGAAATTGATAAAAAAAAAATGGATCTTAAATTTAAAATTTTAACTTCGGATATATTTATTAGTATCTAATATATTAATAACAATTTTTTGGTACAATACATTTTTTATTTTATCAACATTTACATTTACATCTTTATCATTATGTCATTGTGTAATGATTAAGATCTTCAAATCATTAAGATTATATAAAATCATAATATTGTCCTTATTGTATATAAAAGTATCCCATGTTTCCAAATTATTATAATCTTTTTTTAGATATATGCATTTGTATATATATATATATATATATATATGTATAAACTTAAAAAAGTATATACAAAAATTATATAGTATATACAAAAGTATATACAAAATGTAATTTCAATCGCTCACAATTCTGTGAAATTAATTTCGTGTATCTGAAAGATCCGTAAAATGCTTAATACATTGCTATGGATGAATAAAATTCGTGCTGTACAACAGACATTTAAGAAAAGTATTAATTTTAATTTGGACTATATATTTTTTTCTCGTCACTTTTAGACAGCCATCTATTTAAAAAAAAATTGCATTGTTGGTATTCTATATGAAATATTCTCCATAACTGATATCACTATTTCATCATTGAATATTTGATATAATTGAAAATAATTAATAACCAAAATTAATGAAAAAATTTTTGATTTATTCCTCCTTCCTTTTCTCTTTTCTCTCTTTCCTCTAAATTTTATATTGATTGAAAGCATATATCTATTTATCAAAATAATACTTATTTTAACTTTTGGAATTAATTTTACAAAAATATTCTATAAATATAAAATGTTCTATAAATATTAATATTAATACTGAGTAATTATTTGAAACAGAAAAATCCTTATCAATAATTTTTGAATATATAGAAATCAACATTTTGAAAAATTTTTTATGTATTATTGGCGCTCGGCTTTAATTAATTTGTTGTACTATATACATCTATATAATATATAGATTATTTATATGTCTGCAATTGTGCAAATATGTTATTTATTCTCGATTAATGTAAACATATGACAATAGTAGATAACTTGTATAAAGGATAAATTAATAAAAAATCTGTTTCGTTATGAATTATTATGAATTTAAAATGTCTCATCGAAGACAGATTTTTCTTCTTTAGATTTCAATTTGTGAAAAACAAAAATGAAATATAAAATTTTTATATTATTGAATGATTTTAATTACAATGATCAAAATTATAATGATAAATATTAAAAATGATGTTAATATTTATTATAATTTTGGTCATTCAAAGATTTTTTTATATTTTATTTTTGTATTTCGTAGATCCAAAGAAAATTTAACATTGGATTGAAAATATTTTAAATTCATTATAAGAAAGTAGTTTTTTAATCTACATATATTTTGAATTTCATTTTCATCTCTTGTGTTATGTTTATAAAAATAAGTGATTATAAGTACATGAAATTATGGATGTATATATTGAAAAATCAGCAAAATTATTATTTGGTGAAGACTCTTCTATTGCGAATAATTATTATATCTTATTTTATTTCACATAAAACTTAACATAGTTCAATATTTTTGTAATTAATTTTTACTAATTCATTTTTGTAATTATGCAGTTTCGATTATTTTAATCATTAATAAAATTATTTATCATGAATAATTTTTCTTTGAGTTTTTTTTTTTAAGTTTCGTTTTATAAATATAAAATGTTTATACTATAGACTAAAAGATTATACTATAGAATTTTCCATTGGATAATTTAAAAATTATCTAAATAATTATTTAATATATTATTTAATAAATTTTCTTCTCATTTTTGATATAATATAAATTTTTCTACGTATTTAACCGTTGTCTAATTTTTGATATATTTAAACAAAATAAAAGCGGCGTTCAAAGTATATAATGAGTCAAAAAGCTACTTTCTTATGGAAAATTCTTTTTATATAAAGGATTTATATTAAATTATTTCAAATCTAATGCTGTATTTAATATCATGGAATACGAAAATAAAATATAAAATAATTTTTGAATGACCGAAATTACAATAATAACATTATATTTGATATTTTTCATTGTATTTTTTATGAATATATAATATAGAATAGTATAGAATAAGTGTAATTATATAACATATTGAATACTAATTGTAATATATACTATAATGTATTTAAATAAATAATTAATTAAAAATTAAATAATTAAATAAATAGCAATCGTGCTAATGATGCTGTTTATTACTATTATATATAATTATTTTATTACTATTATAGGTAAAATCCTATGTAATAGCTGTAATTTTTTTTTATAAATACTTTGAAAACAGTAATAAAAAGTTATTCAGAATGATATTGGAATGAATTGAATTGTACTATTGACAACATTTATTAAAATTACAGTTATCTGCATAATTATTTATAATATATCAATATATTTATAATATTAAATATAATATATAAATAATAATATATAATATATTCTTTTTTTGTAATTTTGAAAGAAAGAAAGATGATAAAAATGATGGTACTGTTAATGTTAATATTAAAATAATTTACTTCTATTGTTGTTGTTAAGGTAACTCAATCTCATTTGCCAAGAATCGGTCCGCGTTTTGCATCGATTGGAGGTGGCTATGAAGCTTTATTAACACCACCAACAAAACAATCGAATTTGATACTTCCTGAAGAACAAAGAAGATGCAGTTCGGTAACATGTAGCAGCACTGGGAGTAGTTATCTCGAAAGAAGAGGATCTGTGATGCCAGTACCATGTTTGCCGCTTCATTCTACGTTTTCAACTAAATACACTATCCATGATGAACCCTGGGATCTTTATTATCCCATTGATATTCAAGTAAACATTCAAAATTATTCATTAATTATTTCTTTTGTTATTAACAATTAAAATTATTTGTTAATTGTTAATTTTTTAATAATTTGTTAGTTAATTGGGATTTTGCAATAATGATGATATGCAATTTATATTTCTTATAATTTATGCATACAAATATATAATTTTATATTTTATAATTTTAGCATTGAAAACAATTAAGTTATCGAATCATTTAGGCAAATCAAATAGTATCACATTACTAATTGAATCAAAAAATGCTTTAAATTTTATTTTCTTTTGGCCAACAAGATTTTATTTATTTAAAATTGAAATTATTGTACATTATATTAATATAATTATATTTAAATTAAATTGTTATAAAAATTTAAAAGCTGACAAAAAATAATAACAGATTTGTAAATATATTGATAAATAGAAAAAATGCAACATAATAAAATAACATAACAACATAATAAATAGTAAAATCCAGTTAATATAATATCTGATTAGATATATATAAAAATCAATATTTTAAATAACATACTAAAGATACATGTAATCATCGAATCTTAATTTTAAGAAATATTAAAAAATTTCTGATATTGTACTATTGAATTCTATCTATATGTGTGCGTCCGTGAGAGCATATGTTAATATTTTTTTCCTAATATTTATAAAATGAAATCAACAAATCTAATAATTTGTCATAATTATTTTATATATATTTAAATTAAATATGAGTTTAAAAATTCATATAATTTCGTTCGTTAGACTGCAATTTCAAAATATCTATTTCATCAATTTGGAAAATTGATGAGAGTGTCATAGATCTAAAATTTTAGCTTTTGATATTAATTTTTGAGATATTAAAAAAAAAACTTTTGATATATCATGTAAAATCATTGATATATAATTGAAAACTATTATTAATACAATAATTTTTACCACAATTTTAGTTTTTAAATACCGAATATTAAGCTTACATCGGTTTCATATAAGATATTCAATCTAAAATTCACTAAAAATTTAATCATTCATTCTTAAGAAATTAACATTTGACTTATCAAATTCTAAATGTCAAGCATGAGCAGAATTAAAACAAAAACTAATTAAAAGCATTTGGCATATAAATATAGCAATTGCTATTATTTGACAAAAATAATCTTGTAATATGGATATGGGATTAGATTAGAATTTAAAATCTGTTAGGAGATTATAGATCAATATTTGCAATTTTAGAAGCATAAGATTTTATTTCCTATAAGATTTATATAGGATATAAAATATAATTTTATAAAGTTAATTATTAGACACTTGATAATAAATTCTACAGTGATTATTCGTATTATAATATTAAAAGTTCTTTTTATTAATATATTATGAATATATTATATATATATGAAGATAAATCTAATAAATATATGAAAATAAAACTTTATATTATTAGGATTTATCTCATTTTCTTTATAATTTCTAAAATTTTACATCGATCGAATCTTTTAAAAGCTTTATTCGTTAATTATTCTGAATACTTTATTCGTAATACGAATATAATTTTTGTATACTTAATATTAATAAGTTTATAACTTAAAAAAATTTTTTAAATAATAATAAGTTGTTCGATTAATTTATCGATGAATGGATTCCGAGTCCTACTATAATATCCAATAAATTTATTCATTATTTTTGACTTAAGACTGAAGAATAAATTATAAATATATAAAATATATATATATAAAAAAAATAAGAAAAATGTCTATAATTGTTTAAAATGTTTATAATATAGTATATTGAGAATCCTGGATTCATCTTTTGTTTATAATTTATATAAACAGCAAAAATATAATGAAATACTAATGATAGATACAATTATATTGAATTAATTATTTGTCATACAAATGTACATATATAAATAGAATTTAATAGTATCAAAAGATTTTCAATATATATTCGAGATAAATGATGATAATATGTATAGAAAAAAAGTTGAGAAAAAATCAACTACTATATTATATTTTTTCAAACAATTATCTAAAATTTTATATGACAACATTGATAAATAGTATTATGATAATTTGATATTATTATTTAAAATGTCAAATGAAAAATTTTGTAATTATAAATAAATATAAAAATATATTTCATCGATTTTGAACAAACTAGTTCATAATTATTTAGAAAGGGAAATTATTATCGATTTAGATGATTTTAAAATACAATTTCCATATAATATAGCATTCTTACAACATGATTTCGCTTTAACACGGTTCGAAAATTGGGAAAAATTTTCCTATATAATATAGCATTTTTATAACAGTATTTCATTTTAATATAATTCGAGAATTGAAGAAAATCTCCCTACAACAAATTTTTAAAATTAGGCAAATCCTCAAATAACAAGGAATATGATGATAACTTTTAAAAATAAGTATCATTTCATTCAATATTTTTATTCAAGCGTATATGTCAGATATATCATACTATTTGAGATAAATTAATTAATGAAAGAACCATTGCAAAAAGAAATATAGAAGAAAGAAAGAAATAGAAACAAAGTTAAATATTTTATCTTAAAAAAAATATAAAAATTATATTTAGTTGAACAATTGGAATTATATTTTCTAAATAAAAATTTTTCCATTAAAAGAGACACAAAATTTTAAAGAAAATTTTACAAATTTTGCTTTTTTCAAAAATTCACAAATTCCATACAATGAAATTTATAAAGATTTCTCAGCTAAAAGCAAATAATTGAAACAGATTTTTTTATAAAAAATAGAGCATAGAATTCAAAATATTGAAAAGAGAGATGATGATGATAAGAAGATGAGAGAGAAATAGATCTTAGAAGATGAGAATCATTTTACAAAATGATGAAAAATGATAAAAAATGATGAAAAAAATTATATAAAATATTATATAATATTAATATATAATATTTTTGATCAATTATTGTTATTATTTAATAAACATTAATAAATATTTTTTTAATTATAAAATGAAAATAATATAATTTTTTTTTAATTTTTTTAATTTTATTTTTTGTATTAATTTTTCATTTCATATAACACAAATTCTCATAACACCGTATTTTTTAGGAATCTGATGAATGTGTTTATATATTATCATAAGAATTGCCTCTATATACAAAACAAGATTTTGAATAATTTTTTCTTATACATACACTTATAATTAATAATTAATATTTATTTATTAGAAATTTAGCTTCTTTGGATTCTTGGAATCCAAAAATGAAATATAACAATTTTTGAGCGAAATTACATTAAGCAAAGAGATAAAGTCTAAAAAATATCTCAAAAATTAAGAATAACAATCGGTTATGTATAGAAAAAAATTATATAAAATCTTGTTTTCTAATATATTTAAAAAAATTTATATATTTAATATTTAAAACTATATAAATATTTAAAAATCATTATATATAAAAACAAATATAAAAACATGATTAATAAGATCACTGGTAAAAAATTGTTCACAATCTCATTTTTTATCATTTAAAAATCATCAAAAATCAATAAAATCTTTATATACTATATATAATTATCAGTATTTCGTTCTTCGTTATAATTTTTGATAATTTATTTGTAGGTAATTCAACCAACCCCAGAACTTTCTCCATGCACAAGCGAAGCAGGTCTTTATGCAAAAGATGTGATGATCATAGAAACTAACAGTAAAAGAGCACCATTGGCTTCTATGGGCAGTGTTGATCCTCCAGAAGCAGATTCGAGGTTACCGATATATCTATATAAAATACATAATTTTGATAAAATTTTAAAAGATCTGGCTGATCGATAATTTTTGAAAGATGGTAGAAAAGGGAAAATGGATTTAAATATAAAATTTTCGATTTAACTAATTATTTTCCAAAATATTAATAAAAATTATATATTGCTATCTATCTAGATATTATTAATACTAATATAATTAATAGTATAATAATCTTCGCTATAAATGTAGCATCATCGATTGTCGAATAACTATTGACACTATTATACGTTAAAAAGTGTCCTAAAAATATGAAAATATTGATTAATTTGAAATTTCTGAAATAATTTCAGATAATATTTTCTTTTGCAGAAAGTTTCGTTTCGACTTTATTAACAAGTTATTAACAAAAAATATTGATCAATCAGAGTATGAGATTGCTTGAGCTGCATTAATTACATGCTATTAACCGAGTACAATAATAAATATATTCAAGTAATATATCGAAGGGAAGTATCTTAATATGAGAATATATAAATATTTCTTTACCAAAAAAAAAAAAATTATATGGAATTATATCTTATTTTATCTTAACAAATAAATTAATTAATTGTTATTCGCATAGGACTGATAAATCTACTTTAAAATGAACAATGCAAAATTATGATATAAAATAATAAATATGAGCTTTCTAATATCTATATATTATATATATAATTTATATTAATTTAAATTAATAATTTATACAAATAATATTTAATTAAAGTAAACGATAAAAAGTAAATGATAAATAACAATTTATATTAAATTAGAAAATATTCATAGTTCATCTATTAAACTCAATTAATCGCGAAAAAATTCAATTCGAATTTTGAAATGTACCAATATTTTTTGCTTGAAATTGTGGAAATTTTTAAAAATATTCTCATATTTTTGAAACATTGCAAATATTATATTATATAATATAATATATAATGTAGCTGAAATAAATAGTAACAGAACAAAAATTATTGAAAGAAAAATAGAAATAGATATGTTTGTGGATTATAAAAAATATGTAACTCTTAAAGACAATTATGAAAAACAATTATGACGATATAGAATGTTACTATATTATAGCTTCATAATTTATAATATTTATCGTCGAAATTTTATTATGAAACATTTTAAATAAATAAATGCAGAAATCAATATCACCATAATATCATCGATGAATAATTATTATAAAAAAAATAATTTGTAACAAATGCATAAGTAATATTTTGGTCATGTGTACACAATATTCAATATATAGTGCTAAAATCTTGGAAAGTAAGAATAATATTAAAATTTTATATTTTTTCATTCTTCTTGTTACTACTTTTTTTTTCTCTTCGTATCATAAATTTCATGATCATTCATGATCTTTCGAAATTATAGCTAAAAAACTCTAGATAATTTAAAAATTTTGAAATTATTATTTTATTTTTTGTTGATAATTTTGTTAAAATTTGATCTTAATATTGATTCGTTATATGTGCATTTATATAATGTATTAGCTATCATAGCGCACAGAAATGCGTAAGAAAACTCATGTATATAAATATAATATGTGTATAAAGCAGGTAAGACAAGTTAAAATTTATAATATTTCAAGTATAAGACTGTTATATAAAACTTACTGTTATATAAAAATAAGACAAACACTAAAGTTTCTCAATTGATTTTTAATCAATTATACCAAGTCGAAATGACAATAAGTCTCTCATAAATTTTGGATAATTACATTCGGAAAGAAATAATAATTTCACGAGAATAACAAAAAAAAACTAACTTAAAAAAAAATAAAAATTCCAAGTGTAGAAGAAATTCCGAACTTAAAATATAACGTAGACAAGACAAAAAATCCAATCAATGATGTACCTACATCAAATAGATTCAGTCATTGGAAATACTAAATAATTATAAAATACTATATTAATATACTATAAACTTCTATATCTATAAAAACTTCACTGCTGTTGCCGATATTTCTAGAAGATATACAAACTATGACGAAGTCACTAGAAACTATCATTAATAAAAACAAATATACTTCAAAAGCAAACAATGATAAAGTGAAAATTCTTCCTAAAAATATAGAGGCATACAAAAATTGTCAAATATTTGAAATACTAAATTTTATAAGTATAAAATTTCAAACAGCTAAGAGTATATAAGAGTATATATTGTTCTACACAATATATATCACTCAATCAGTTTGGAACTGAAAAAAGAGTTACTGATATTGGATAAGATAATAAATATATTTAACATCAAACATAACGAAACCTATCAGCCATTGTCGTTATTCTTTATCGATCTAAAACAGAAACATAATAACAAAAAAATATATCAAATAAAGATACTAATGAACTGTATTCAAATCAAATTGTCCTACAAAAAAAAAAAGAAATAGTATAATGCAAAAGATATTAATAATACGGACACACATAACTATACTACAATTTGTAATCGATTTGTAATTGTAATCGAGCTACCTGCTTGTTGCTATGTAAAAGTGACCATTCTGCCAACTTTATTAAGACTGTCCAGTTTATAAGGAGTTGCAACAATATAAATTTCTAAGATCGAGAAAGTACAAAATAATTGATCAATAACACATGAACACAATATATCAACAATGAACGATTTAAATACTAATTCTTTTCCCAGTTATGCAAAAATATTCTAAGGTGCATATCACCGATAAAAATAATATTATGAACAACCTTAATGTTTTCATATAAATAGAAAAATCCTTTAGTAAATTAGAGCAAATTATAATACAAAAATAAATCAGCCACTTGTTACTCTTATTGACAGTAATAATAATAAAAATGATGATAAATTCATGACTTATAAAAGTATAATATATCGTTCTATAGAATGCAAACAGACTTATGCATCGCAAGCATGATTTAAAAGCTTTTTTTATCATTAATTAAAAAATTCAAATTGTATTCATTACGAAAAATCACTTCACTGAAAAAAATTATTTAAAAATAAGAAGATATGATGAGGATATAGAATAACATTCGAGCAATAAAGTGACATCATAATAATCAAATCTAATATAAAATATCTGTATAATATTTAATATAAAATATCTCTATAAAATGTATTATCAACCTATAACCACGATTTCCTACAATCAATGAACATTTGAATATTGGCATAGCCTTGTTATTATATCAGCAGTATACTGAATCTACCTAAACAATTTCCAAAGAAAATTTTAATATCTTTTTTAAAAGTCTGGATAATAAATTCCTAGCAGAAGGCGATTTCAATGCAAAAAACAACTTTTGAGGTTCGAGAATCACAAATATAAGAGATACAACATTCCTACAAAATTTACGAACTAACAGTTAAAACACGTAAACACCAAAGAATCTTACTGGTTGATTGATATGAATGAAATACCAAATTTACTCGATTATATATTTCTACGATTAGTAAAAGTCTCCTCATTATATTCTACATTCATTATATTCTAGTATTCATCCGATCATTCATCAATATATCGATAATTAAAACGCAATAATAATAATAAATACAAAAACTGAACATTCTTTCGTTAAATCATCTCTGCTTATCCTCTATTAAAAACAGAAAATGATATGGAGAAAGCAGTAGAGTATCTTACAAATTATATTATAAAAGCAGCTAAATTCGCAATTCCTACAACAATTCAGTATATCTATGCCAACTATTCAAAATTCATTATAGAGCAAATCGCTGAAAAAAGAAGTCTAAGAGGAACCTAGAAAAACATTAGATTTTCTAACAACAAAAGACTATTGAATAGAGCAACTAGAAAATTCACTCGATTATTAGCAGTATATAAAAATGAATTCTTCAGCAAGTATTTAAACCTGACACCAACTAAAGACACCGATTAACTTTTTCTAGAATCAAAAAAATCACAAAACTACAAATGAAGGTTTGCCCATTCGGAAAGCAAGGATGCTAAATTAAGAATTCTCAAGAAAAGGCAGATCCATTCAGCATCTTTTTTATTAAAGTATTTAAACTCTTCCTTATAAATTCAAGCAATAAAATCTGAAATTCAAGAGTACTTGCAAATTCTCTATCAACTTTCTCCATCTGTCCACCCATTCATATCTGAAGAACTAATAATAAGAATTTTAATTTACAAGAATATACGTTAAAAAAAACTTAAAAAAACTAGCTTAATCACAAGCAAAATAATCAAAGAGCTTCTTAAGAAAAGTCTTATTAATTTGATATTCAATGCTGTAATATGCATCAGACACTTTTCTAACTAGTGAAAAATTTCATATATCATAATAATTAACAAACATAGCTATCGCATGAAATATCATCATATTCCTATCAGTCTTTTATTAATTTTCTCAAAGCTATTCGAAAAATTGCTATTAAAACTATTATATAGAATCTGTAATAATCGAATCAAATATAATATCGAAATATTAATGACTTTAGAAGACAGTATTCGAATTTCCAACAATTTCATAAACTAATCATACAAGAAGATATCTAGAATATAAATCATAATGTTTTGCTTTTTCAGATATTAAACAAATGTACATTTATAGCACATTGCAAAGATACATATGGCATTTGATATCTTATATAAACTAAAAAAGCTACTCACAAATCCTCTCTATACCATATTGCAATCATACTTAATCATACTAATTAATAAAAAATTCAAAATTCAAAAAAGTATTATTTACTTCAGTTTAATTAATTCTGGAATTCAGGAATGTAGGAAATGTGCTTGGATTCATCCTATATCTAATATATACTGATATTCTAATTTTTTTAAAAGCATTTGCAAATGACACAATAATTCTTGCTTCACATAATGATCTTTTCGAAGCTTTTAAAAACCTACAAAAACATTTGAATAATTAATTACTTTGAAAATTAACATAAAAATAAATGAAAATAAATAATAATATCGGTTCATATCACTTTATTCTGCGCAAAAATACATACTTTTTATGAAAATTCATGAATTAATAATTCCATAAAAAAAAAACAAGAAACTAAATACTTTGATATATTACTTTGATATTATATAAATAATAATTTTAGATTGAAAATTAATGTGGGAAAAACATATTTAAACAAAATATGCACAGCTTAAGATAAAAGTGAAAAAGCTATCCTGGTTATTAAAAAAATTAAATTAAAATTAAAAAACAAATTACTAATAGATTATTAGTACAAGATTATTCTAAAACGTATTTGGATTTAGGAATTTAATTATAAGCTATGGTTAACAATTCGAACATCAAAATCTTACAAAAATTTTAATCAAAGTCTTCATAATTTCTATATAATATCCTGCGGTATGTCTCTAATGACGTAATACACAGTAACTTTGCAATATCTACTATTAAATAAAAAATATGAAATTACAATAAATGCCATATCCTATAGTTACCACAACATAAAAATTCATTAGCTATAAAACTGGTTCATAGCGATTACAGATTAAAAAGATAGCCTTTTAAATTAACAAATAATTAAATCTAATATTATCGCAATAATTATAATTTTCACTTACCTACAAGATTATATAAATACAACGATTTAATGTAATCACTATAATTTACTTATATATACTCATATATACTTTTATATTACTCATATATACTTCACAATATAATGTCAACAAATTTATTTATAATTTCATGAGGAAAATTGATCTTAAATACTTTAAGTCATTAATATATGTACAGAATGTTAATAAACATGTGGGATACCTTTGGAAGATTTTAGACATCAAAACGATGAAAAAAGTTTTATATTAAATTTTTTTTATTCACTATTCACATTAATTTCTTTGAATAAAATTATTTCGATTATTATTTATTTTAATTTTATATGAAAATTATTTAATTAAAATTTTATTTTAAATAAATATTCAAATATGTATTATTTCATCAAATTTTGAATTGATTCCGCGACGCGACAATATGTTACTAAAATAGCATTGCTGTTCAAATGCTGGGCGTTAGAAAAAGAGTTTTGAAAGATTTGATAAAAAGAAAAAATGAGATAGTAATATTCAAAATCGAATGTTATGTTTGTGTGTTTTAAGTATAAGAATACGAAATTTTCCCGTTGCTAAGATAGTGTTGTTTTGTTCTGGATTCAGTTCGTTCGTAACATTCGTCTAACGTATATGAGAAATAAAAATGTAAAAATAAAATAGTGAATTTGTAATATTCATTCAAGCATAAAAAAACAATTGCGATATATATGCATTTTTTATGGATATGTGATATTAATGTATAATATTGATTCATATTATTATATTATTATATAAGATATCTAGATCGATTATTATTTCTCTCTGCATAGTGCAAGTGAAATAAAG